AACTTTCATTGTCTGAAAGGGAACAACGTTGCATTAAAGAAAAAAATAATACAATAGGGGAGAAAAAAATGTGTACGGTACCGCTATAACTACCGCGCGCAGCAAGCTTAAGTGTAATTTTTCACAAATTTCATTTATCGCTCAAGAACAATTTTATTAAGATATTTGGATGAAAATTCCACTGTATGGTAGGGAACAATATTGCATATGAGAAAGAACAATAAATATTATGATATATCTAAGTACATGTATTTTTCGGGAAAAAGCTTAAATCAGATAAAAGATGGACTTTCACTTCCACTGAATATTTAAACATATCGATATTTAGTAAGATATATAAGGATTATTTAGATCGGAATATAGTTAATTACATATATGCCTTATTCTCATCGATTCGATACTTCTCGTGGATCCGATACGTCATTTTCCGTACCGAATACGAGCTCGCGACGCCAAGGAATACATCCGAACTATATGCAAGTTTTACGTCGGACAAGCGTTTATCAATAAACACATAAATCATGCGTAAAAAACAGGTAAAATCATATCCAGCAATAGTTTTAAAACATGTTTTTTGCATAAAAAAATAATGTTAAACACCTTCAATAATTCCTCTTTTATCAATAAATAACCAAAATATATGTATTCTAATTTTACTCTGCAAAGTTACTTCCCTTTGATCTGAGTCACGAAAAGCTTTAGTGATACAGTATGTGCCAAAAAACTTGGACCACTTTTTTTGTTATCATAATGATAGAGCCCATTGAACTGAAAGCCTTTCATAGATAGATCCCAATTAAAAGCCAATTAAAAAAATAATGCTTGTTTTCATTATCAAAGCCTTTATAACCTTTGTTTAGGTAAAGCCAATCAAGATTGACAGAAGATACTGTAGATATTCACCTGAGTCCCTTCTGAAAGCATATGAGGCAGTGAAAGACAAAAAGTTACCTGTGAAAAGGGCTTCAAGACTGTTTGGTGTCCCATTAACCACCTTAAGAGATCGTGTTTGATGGTCGAGTTGATGCTAATAATTTTGTCCATGGGGGTATTACGACACTTAGTAAGGAGGAGGAGGAGGTTCTTGTGGAGCATTTAGAGGCAATGAGTCTTCTTGGCTATGGTTATACCAACACTAAGCTGCAACAGATAGCAGGTGAACTGGCTTTTGATATGGGAAAGAAAGAGAAAAACAAACCCATGAGCAACAACTGGTTGTATGGTTTTTTAAATAGGTGGAAAACGCGTTTAGCATCCTATCTCCAAGTAGTTTGGATAGCAACCGTGCAAGATATTGTACCCCTGAATCTGTTGCCCACTACTACAAAAACCTGAATGATATTCTGGTCAAGTATGATCTACTTGATAAGCCACAGCACATATACAACCTTGATGAAACAGGACTTAAACCAGATCATAGGCCACCAAACATCATATCATCTTTAGATTTGTAAACCACAGGCAGTAACTTCACCACGCTCTACCACAACAACACTCATTGGTTGTGTCAATGTCATTGGTAATACTGTTCCACCTTTCTTTGTGTTCAAAGGAAAAAGATTTAATAGTGACTTGATGAATGGAGCAACCTTTGGTGCAAGAGGGGAGATGTCTGATTCAGGATGGTCGAATGGTGAGCTGTTCTCAACATACCTTAAGGAGCACTTTCTGCCATATGCAAGGTCAGGCACTGATGATTCACAAGTGATTCTTCTGTTGTTTGATGGTCATTCTTCACACGTTTCACCAAGTTTAATTAAGTGGGCAAGATCTCGAAATTTGATTCTTTTCTGTTTACCAGCTCACTCATCACATTTTCTTCAACCACTGGATGTTTCACTTTTTGGCCCATTCAAGACATTCTACTATTCAGAATGTTCCTCCTTCATGCAGAAGAATATTGGACAGGTTATCACCAGATATGACATGTGTCAAATAGCATGTAAGGCGTACTTGAAGGCGATGACACCTATTAACATTCAAGCTGGATTCCGGAAGACAGGTATTTATCCTTTGTCTAAGGATGTAGTTCCAATGGAAAAGCTTTTTCCAGCTGAAGGCTTCAGGGAAGAAGAACCAGTTAAAAAAGTGAAAGCGCTAAGGCACGGAAAAGAGGCTGTTGAAGACTTCTTACAAAAGAAAACAGAGTCTACAAGTACAAAGACAATTGAAAATGTCAACAACCTATGTCAAAAGTGCAATGGTAGTGTTGAGGTGAAGAAGAAAATGAAGAAACCTAAACCTAGTGGGAGAGCAATTACAGAGGACAGCTATTTGAAAGAACTAGAAGAATACCAAGAGGGATTGAAAGGGACACAACCATCATCTCATACTGATTTAGAAGATAAGGAAAAATGAAACTCCAAAAAAGAAACATAAATCAAAGAAAAATACCAATCCTAAGAAATCACTCAAATTTGGAAGCCCGAAGCCATCAACTAGTGGAACAGGTAAAACAAATCAAGCAATACCTGTACATGTGGATGATGAAAATAGCTATTCTGAACTTTGATGAACAAATTGCAGATGAAGACCTATGTTGTGTCTGTAAAAAGTGGTCCCCACCTAATCACAATGATCATCCTGATCTCAAAATTATTACATGGGCTTACTGTGACAACTGTTCTCACTGTGTTCACCTCAAATTTTGTACTCCAGTACGAGTTGTTCGGCGCCTCAGCACTTTCCTTTGCCCTTGCTGTGATGCTTAGAAAACATATTATTAAAAAAATATAATTCATTGGTTTATAGTTACTGTTACACAAGTTTAAGTGTTGACTTATGTGTTTTATTTGTTAAAAAAACACTTGTTTTATATTCTTGTTTTGAGAACAGTTGACATGTTAATTTAGTAATTTTAATGAACAGCTCCCCTGCCATGTGCATATTTTTTCTTGAAATGACATAACAGGACTGAAATTTTAAGCACACCTGTAGTTCACCAAAAGTTGTCCACCTTTATAGCTCTTTTTACACTGAGACCAATAGAGTATCGGATCGATGAGAAGCGTCTGCTATGACAAAGATTCAAGGGCAGTAATTATTTTGAGGTAAATATTTCAACAAATCAACATAGTTTTGGTGTTTTCATTCTGTTTTATTTCTGTTTAGTAGTTTCTGTGGCTGTAAATGAAAATTAGGTCACAAAAATAGTGACACGAACTGCGCATGCGCCATTTTAGCCGTTAAGGTATCGGATCCACGGGAAAGCGGCATACAAGGTAGACAATGATACCTTAGGTACGGAAAACACGTGTATTATACCGCTATAAATACTGCGCGCACCTAACTAAAGTTGAGTTTTTCACGAACTTCATTAATCGCTTAAGAACTTATTTATTAAAATATCTGGATGGAAATCACTGTATGATAGGGGAACATCTTGCATTTAAGAAAAATAAAAAAATATTATAATATATTTAAGGGTGTGCTGGAATTGTAACGTATAAATACATGTATTTTTCGTGAAAAAAGCTTAAATCGGAATAAAAGGGTGATTCAAGTTTCAAATATATAGATATTTATTAAGATATATCGGGATGATTTAGATCAGAATAACGGTAATTGTATATACAAGATAGACAACGAAAGCAATTTATGAAATCTTAGGGAGGAAACCCGGGGCGGGAAAACACGCATAATTATAGTCCTGTTCTTAAAAACCCGCGCAGCATATTTAAGTCAAGTGATGAAAATTTCACTGAATACTAGGGACAATGTTATATTAAAGAAAGACTAATAGATATCATAATTTATCGATCTATATATCTAAAGCAAACTATGATATCTTAGGACAGAGAACACACATGTATACCTGATAGAAGTACCGGGCCCGGCAAAATAAGTTTTTCACAAACTTCATTGGTTTCGCGTAAAGTTATAGAGTGATATACTTTCATGGAAACTCTACTGATATATAGGTTGAAGCATTGCAATTAAGTAAAACAATTACATTATATGATATATCTATATGCTTGTATGGTACAAGACTTTAAAATACATGTACATATCGAAAATTGAAAAATCCGAAAAATCAGAAGTCGTAAAATCTCGTCTGCATATTATGAAATAAGGGCGTGAGACCAATGTCGTAAAATGTCAGTTTGATCACGGTGACATATATTCTCCGGCGGCAATTCGAACTAAATGTTATCATATTATTAGTACTTTTTTTTAGTACTGTTATTAGTATTGTCATTTTTCATTAGAGTGATAACAATAATTATTATCATTATTATTATAATAACTATAATTGTGAAAGTTTTTTTTACAAAATATCGTTTTCATGAGAGCATTTAGAATTAGAACAGAACAGAACAGAACATGAATTTTATTTTAGATTTGAGCATTTCGCTCCTCATCCATAACATAAATATACATTATTATGTCAAAGTCAAACAATATAATGATATAATACAATATTGAAAATATCTGTGGTACATATGACAAAAGAAGGTATAGAATATATATCAGTATCATTTAACATGAGATTCTTAACGTACATGACAATAAATTGAGCATTTATTTATTTATTATATATTTATTAATTATTTATTGTAAAAGATTATGCCTAATTCTTAATGCACAATTTAGGAAACAAACTAAATTATTCAACATTTTTTCATTTCTGGTTGACAACAACTGGGTAAGTTTAAACATAGATGGTCTTTCATAATAATATTTATCAATGTAACGTTTTCTTATAAGTCTGTAGCAGGGACACACACAAATCATATGGAATTCATCCTCAATGTCTCTGGATTGACATACATTGCATGTTCTTTCACCTCTTTCAATTCTATTCTGACCATATCGTCCGGTTTCAATCCTAAGGCAATGTGCAGATATCCTAAACTTGGTAATAACAGATCTATAATTTTTTCTACCTAAGATACTCAAATACTCAGCATATTCAATATGGTGCTTTAAATGTTTATATAAATGTAATACTTGATTGCTCTCTCTAAATCGCTACTCCAATTCTGTGTGAATGTATCAATCAGTCT